GGAGGGCTGGGGGTGGGGGGTGGAGGTCGGCGGTCCCCGCAGCGGGGGTCCGGGGGTGAAACCCCTACCCCAGCTTGGGCCGCGGGGCTACCTGCTTGACAACCCTGATTTTCATCCCCAATGCCATCTTACTTCAGTCTCAAGGGAGTCCCATATCTTGTTCCACCATCTCCATGGCCATACAGAACCAGGACATTGAAGAAAGATTTGTTCAATTGTTTTCGGAATCAACGTACTTGGGAAAGCAATTTCACAAAATTTGCACCATGGTTGGGAATGTTTTTTTTTTATCTAGTGTTGTTTTGTCAGTTGTCCAATCTTTCATGGTGAGGCATATGTGTTTTATTTACCACTGTATTGAAGCTACTTTAGCAAGCTTACTTCTCTTTTTGCAAAACCACTTGACGTTTTTTAACTCATCTTTGTTGATATTGAGATGCTTCATCCACCTATTGCTCACTCTGTCAACCAGGTTCAGTTTAGGCATAAGCATTTAATAAGTTGATTTAACTGTGAGAGTATCGAGGTTTCTAGTGTAGTTTATTTTTCTTTTAACATGTGACTCTCATTCCAACTAGCAGGGTCCAATGGTAGATGAGATATACGGGTTTGCGGGCGAAAAGACGTCCAACCATTTTTAATTTGTAGGACTCTGGTTATGAAAATTTGTTCAACTTTCAACCATTTAACTTTATTTTGAGCATCAAGACATAAACTGTTGTCCTCTGAGAGATTGAAAATCAAGATCATAGTATCTTCATTGGGTTCCTTATGAAGGACATTACCTGCTGTTTCCTTGTTATCTTTCACTGCCACCCAGTCGTTGATTCCTACTGTTAAGCCTTTTTCTGAGGCCCTTGATCTATTATAGAGGGATGAGATCAATTGTTATTTCCAAATCAGTCTCTGAATGGTGACAATATCTTAGTTTGTTCGATATGTTTGTATACTCTACCCAAGTATCATTGACCCTGATCATTCCTTTCTTGATCCAACTTTTTTATGGTGACTCTTTGCAACTTAGCATATAGCCCTGATCATCTTTAATCCATATGTTGTTAAAAATTGGTTATTGGCAAATTTTTTTCCATCTGTCTGGGAAAATTTTGTTCGTTGGTGGTAATCTCCTCCATGTCAGAGCAACGAAATCCAGATAGAATCTTTGTTCAGGTCTAATCTAAGTGTCTCCGTTTTGGTAGGTTGCACCTCCTCTTGATTGCGGACGTTTCTCATGGGGAGAGTCCATGACCGATTTTCTATCCATGTAAGGGGGTCAACCTCATCAATGGTAAAGAGGGTCAGCCTCCTGATCTGTTTCAGTGCTAGGGTGCTTCATGGGGTTGAGGACTGAAGAGGAGTCTTTTGATCCATTGGATAGAGAGGGTCATAGCTTGGGTAACAGGATCAATGATTGTCGACCAGCCCACTCCACTAATCATATTTGGATGTTGATGGCTACCTCTCCACAATAAGGCTCTAAGTTGTTGTTGAAGATTCCTTATTGATTTCTTATCTATGATATTGTTGATTAGTAGAGATCTTCCAAAAATTGAAGTTTGTTTATTTTTTCATAGATTGAGTTTATTTTGAGTGATCTTTGTTAACCACTCATTGTTATTTTTGGATTGTCTTTTGCTGTTAGATTAATGTCTCGAACTCTTATCAGGTGATATTTAGGGGTTCATCTAATTCTTGGTTTCTTTGGGGTCTCACTCCTTGATGGTGTATCCACCACCCCATTGTTTTAGTTCCCCAATTGATCTTCATGTCTGACAATTTATAGAATTGTTCCATTAATATCTAGATTGCGGCTAGATTTTCATGTGATGTATCAACCACAAGAGATAGGTCATCAGTAAATGAAGAGCATATAAGAATGATTTTTTTATGTATTGATGAGATCTTGATTCTGCTAATATCCTTATTATGACGTAGGTTGGTTGCTAAGGTTTCCATTATTATAACAAACAAAAAGGGTATTATAGGGTTCTCATGCTTTACTGATCCTTGAAGTTCAATTGAGAGAGTTGAATTTAGTTCAATTATTACTCTGGTAGAGAACTTCTGGTGTATGATCTAAACCTATCTTCTGAAGCATTGACCAAAGTTTATTTTTTTCAGACATTTGTCCAGGAAGAGTAAGTCCGCATGGGCATATGCTTTTTCAAAATCAATGAAAATAAAAGTCACATTATATTTGGATTGACGTGAAATTTAAATTAACTTGTTTACTAGAAGAATACTATATTGTATGTTTCTCTCATTTATGAAACCTGTTTGGATCGGATGGATGATAACTTATTTTTTATATAAAAGGGCAAAGACACCTTGATTAGCACTTTCTCTCAAGTCACATGCGGTCCAAACCGTTTGGTAGAAGTCCATTAGGTCATGTAATAGGGTGTCCCACATACTTTCCCATAATTCTTTGGAAAAACTGTCTATACCTGGAGTTTTTTTTTTTCTTCCATTAGAATGAGGGTTTGCTAAACTTCATCTTTAGTTAGTGGTTTTTTCATTTCCTCTTTCTGCAATTCTGAAATAGCATTTTTTATAAGGTAAAAAAATCATTAATTTCCTGAATACTTTGTTCTCTGGGGATATGGTTGTTTTGTGACTCGAAAAATTATTTAAAGAAATCCATGATAATTTTGGTACTAGGCGTTGTTGAAGTGGCTAGTTGATATTCCGTGTTGAATGGATTGACAAGTGCTTTTATAGTTGTTCTCCTACCTTTGGATTTCGCCATTGCGAAGACTCTGGTATTCATTTCTCCCTTCATCCGATGTTTTCTTATTTTTTCTTTAATTCTCATTCCTTATCATCGATATTACATATGTTTCATAAGTTGATTATCCGATTCTTGTATTTCTGTTGCAATTTCTGCCAATTGTTCTTCCTCCATCATTTCGACCTCATTTTGTTATAGGTCATGAATCCTCTTATGTAGTAACGTTTCCCTTTGATGCCTTCATTTAGCCAGGGTTTTCGAGTATTCATTGCATTGAGTGCCTATAAATGCTAAGTCGTTGTTGTACTATTTTGTGTCATCCTTGATGAAGGGTTTTTGTTTCCTCTAAAAATCTCATACATTCTTTAGATACTGCTTGAAACTCTCTATTTTGAGGTGAGACATATTTTGTTTGGAGTATCCCTTACCTTGGTTAGTTTTTTTTCTGAAGGAAAATACGGCCACGAACATTGCATATGATCTTAGACATG